GGGAGGAAAGGTGGAATCAAGAGGAGCGACGGAGTCGGGAGGCGCACCAGACAGGGGAACAATGGCGAAATTGGAGGAGCGGCGGACGGGGGAGGTTCAACGAACAGGGGAATGTTATAATAACTAGTAACATTACAATCTACTTTTATGAAATCCTAAGTGAGAGAAGAAATACATTTTCGTCCTCATCATCATCTCCATTAACCGCACCTACGCAGCCAGTAGTCTCCATCTTCTCCAAGACCTTTGTTATCGTGTCTAAAGTATTTGTATAGAATCCTCGGTTTGCTTCCAAGCAAAAGTTATAGCACAAAACTTCACAGTCTCATGCAGAAGTCTGTTCTATCGGTTTGCCTGTCACACGTCCTCGTAAATCCGTATAGTTAAATGGAAAATATATAAGCATAATGGTACACAAAGTCACTTTGAAGTGTATTTATTTGCTTTGCTAATTTTTGAAATATGGTAAAAATTCCCTAGAGACCCAAAATAGAAATAACAAAGTTTTCAAAGAAACTTCATGCACAAAACGTAAAAATGATTTAGCTATGAAATCATTAAAAACCTTATCAAATAACCATTGTTTGTTCACAAAACAATAACACTTTGTGCCTAGTGTACTAGTTTTTTTCTGCATATAAGTGCTATATAAACTTCTTATCCTCTAAGACTCACTTTACATTCACTATGAAATTAGGTCATGCTCCTCGTGGTCTCTTCTTGCCCTTACGGTCACAAATGCACCCTCCTTCAGGTCCTCGAAGCCTCCTCTATGCATATGAACTCTAGACGCCTTTCTATATCCAACATACAATGACCTTTCATAAGGATTTATATCTCCACGTACCATCTCAGCCTTTGCAAGTCTGTCGGTTGGCTTGTCGGGGATGTTAGAAGCGAAGAAGTCGTCACGTGGCCAAACAAATTGATGGTGCAATCAAGTTGTTTTGAAGTCTATATTCTCTTGTTCAGTGGAAAAATGTTGTCACCATGCAATAGACTCACCAACGATATATTTGAAAATTTCTTTCATATTTTAACGTAATCCTGATAATGATAACGTCTTATCGATACTTATTTTCTCCTCGAAGGTTTTGATCCTCTCATCCATGCTTCGCAGAACATGACGTGGAGCCGCATGTATACTTTCGTTCGGAAATGCTTTGAAAATATCCAAGTCGTTGTCATCTTGCGGGTGTCATGACAATGTACAAAACTGCCTACTCCAAACGATAACACTTCCAATAACATTTCTCTTGATATAAAAATATTGGTTGAAACTGATATCATGAAGGGGTGTCAAGTGATCTTTCACATAAATCTTTCAGTCGTAAACTTCAAGCACCCGCTCAACATGAACACTCGCATATTTCGTGTACGACTTTCTGATCGTTTCCAGTGCAGGCAGGTTATGAGCATCCCTATACGCAAGGTCTCTGGAAAAGCAGTTGAACATCTTATCGATATTCTCACATGGGTGACCCACCAATAGGAAGTTGAACTTGTTTTTCTCGAAAACCTTTATGTGAACCAAGTACACCAGGTAGGCCAAGACGTACTTGTTTTCTTTCTTTTTTTATGTGTTGTCAACAGTTTGAAACAACACCTTCGGCAAAGGTTTAGGCATATTGGAAATAACTCTATGAAGCGTGGTAAGCATGGAGTTCACGGGGACCGAAGTTGCCAAACATCATCATTGCATACGCTCTCGACGGATGTCCTTTAACCTTTGCACCCACGACATGTACCTTCAATCCCGAAGCCTCGAATCTTTAGGGACACGCCGAAAACGAGGAAGATTGGTCTTGCTTTAATCCATCCCGTCAACAATAATAGCCACATACTTATCTGGTGACGACTTGGTTTTCTCACGACGATCCATCGTTTTTTTTTTCTCCATCTTCTGTGTTTCAAGATCGTAGTCCAACATTCTTTAAAATTTCTCTCCGTCAACAACAAGAAAGACAAAGATGTCACAACGACGGATACTAATGGTAAACGTGGCAATTAAAAAAAAGGAAGCCAAAGCAGGGCAGAGGAAGACAATGGCAGTGTGCACGGCTCGTTGCATACCTTTCTGGATGGGCGAAGTAGCTTTCCCACATGGTAGCTTTAATTGCGCAAATTGGGCGCAAATGAAGAATCTTTTCTTAGTCGGGATGCAAACCTTAGAGCAACGCTCCCTCCACACGCTTGTAAAGAATGAAATTGAAGGGACCACATCACAAGGTGGCAGGGGGCGAAAATGAGCCTTGAAAAATTTGTAAACTCTCGTTTTTGTCAGACAATCGGTGAGATGAAACTTGTTGGTGTTTCGCATGGACTCCGTGTTCATGCTGAAGTAGGTTTTCATCCACGTGTACACAACCATGTATCTCACAGATGGGCATGGAATACTATAATCGTCATGTACGTAACCATGTACATCGTTAGGAACTGCGACACACACCCTAGCGACTCACCCCTTGCACAATTCATATAGGCAGCCCCATGCAGTCGAGCAGACAAATCGAGAGGCGAAAACGAGACGCAATGTCGGCAGCGTACTGTCGGCGTTGTAGGTCGACATATTTATCACCTCCTATATTAAAAACTTCATTTGTTAAGGTTGTTTCATAGCCCAGAACTAACTTCTTACATCAAGCACCTCCTGATAAAGGAATCGTATCCACACATCTTCTCATGCAGTAGCCACCACGGAGAGCCGGATAGGTAGCTGTGACAGTAATAAATGCACGTACCTTTTTGTTGCGATCACGTTCATTCTTGTTCCTCTTGTTGAGAATGTACTCGGTCTTGCTTCCGAATGCTGTGTAAATTTCTTGACCTTCACGCCCAGAAAAAATATCATCATGGTTGTCTCCATCGCCCCCCGAGGCATAACCAGAGTCCACAAAAAATACCAACGTCGGGAGAAAATGAAAGATCCGTAAGATCGAGGAAAGAGAAAACTTGGAAGGCGTAGATCTGTAAGGGCTCGCAGAACACTCGTCTTCTCTCAAGTACTAGCGGATCGGAGAACAATCGTTTGATCCACTTCACATCCTCCATAGCTTGGGCATCCATCGCAAAGCATCGATGCACAAATATGCCGCTACCGGCACGAGGCAGAAAGTGTCAGGCCGATTTTTATGACAACAAAAATCATCAGACCACTCACGCGAGCCCGTTCCGACATTGCGGTCAACAGACAAATGAAAAAGAGAGTCGGGACCCGACAAGCGTGTGACAGAAGTGAATGGAACAGTCGGGACCCGACAAATTTTCCCCAGTGTCTTCCAAGTGTCCACCTCCCAACACGGAAGGAAGTCCAAACCGTCGGGCGACGCGCCCAAAATCGATTCGAAATGGGCAGAAAGGAACCACGCGAAATTTTCGTGCACTTTCCATAAATTTTTCAGTATCCAAGTTCCCGCCGAAACCCGAAAGTGAGGTGGCCTTCAAGGGCACGCCAATGAAGCACGTGCAAAAAGCGAGGCAGAAGATTACTAAAAATTCAACCATTTTTTTTGCAATTTTGCGACCCCCAGAAAAACGTGGAGAACACACCAAGCCACCGACTGTTATGGTCGGCCGCGGAGGCCGGAGAACAGGAACCGAGGGAGCAAGGGTAAAAAAAACAAGGAGGCTTCACCCCCCAGCGAACACATGCAACAGTTCAAGGGGCTCACCGAAAGTAAGGGAACTGACGCCAAGCAGGGGAAAGTCAATGCCAAACCCCCAATATTTGAAATTCGAAAGGTGAACGGGCGGACGTTGAGGCAAGTATAATGCGGGCTGAACCAGTGAACCAGAAGCACAACGAGGGTCGAATGAGCCGTCGATAAGGCAGGGACATTGACCAAGAGCAGCTCGTGCGGAAGGGTGGAGCGTCGAAAAGCAGCAGCAGTGGAAGTGGGGCAGAGCGAGAAGAAGCGGCAGCGCAAGAGGCGATTGTGTGTCCGAAAATTGATTCAACGAGGGTTTCGCATTGAAAATTTTCGTTGGAAAACCCGTTATACAGGTTACAACGGGATCCACAAACATTTTTTTTATGGGTTAAAATATAATTCAAAAAAACAATAAAGAATATGGCTTGTAGACTATGTTACCCGAGTGGCCCCGGTCCACTTACCCGACCAAACGAAAAAATAAAAATAAAATAAACAAAAAATATTTTTTAATTTAAATTTTTATTTTAAATTTGGTAAGGAATTTGGATGTGACGCCGAGGCAAACGTTGTTCAATTTGTTTTTCAGCATAACATAGTTTCTTTTCGGAGTTTTTGGATTTTGTTTTTGTTTTCTTTTTGGTTGGGACCTTCCCTAGTCCTTGCACAGTCGGGCCGCCCGAGAAAATAGATTTACTCGGGCGGCCCGACTGGTAGCCTAGGTTGTAGATATTTTGAAGGTCTACATCCCCATTAAAAAAAACACAAAAAAATATAAACACTAAAAAAAAAAAACCCCAAAAGATTAAATGAGTTTTTTTTTTTCACAGAGATTTTTTTAGGGTTGAACAAAATTCAGAAAAACAAATAAAAAATATAGGGTTATAGATCTTTCAAAGATGTACAACAACTTTTTTTTTTTTTAATTTATGTATTTAAAAAAAAATCAAAAACATAAAAATAATTACAAAAAGGAAGAAAAGACGCACACACACACAGACACACAACGCATAAACACACACGCACACACACCAACAATCACGCACACACACACACACACACACACACTTAGAAACACACATACGTCCAGGTAGGTTTGGGGACGACAGGATTGGGCGGGCGGGGGAAGGGGGATTTGGGGTTCGTAGTGGTTTAAAGGGTTTCCAGGTAGGTTTGGGAACTCATAAGGGGGCCAATTTTTTTTTTTTTTCTGGTTTTAGTGTTTGGGTGTGTAGGGCCACGTGTCCAAGGCCGAACGCCCCCAATCCATTTTTCTAGATTCAACGGGGGACCCCTGTTTTCTTGTTAAACGGGATTCAACGGGAGCTCCAAGGGCTATTCAACGAGTACAACGACATTTAATTTCACCCGTTACCCGTTGTTAGGACACACAGAGAGGCGGGCCAGAGCGCGAAGAGCAACTGGCAGGAAAGGTAAAGAAAACCATGGCCACAAGTGGGGCGAGAGGACTGATGGACACCGAAATGGACGAAGGGGATGCCCTCGATCTCTCGCACTCGCTGAATGTCATAATCACCATCCTCAGGGAGGAGGAAAACATTGAAAACGAGGAGGAGGAAGAGAAAGAGGAGGAAGAAGAGGATGGTGGTTATGGGGAAGGAGAAGAGGAAGGGGATAAAGAACACGAGGAGCAGAGCAAGAGGAACCAGTTAACAGAGAGTTTGCCCATGACATCGAGAGTCAATTATTCTCTCGCCTACAAGTACCTAGAGGAAACATATGCATCAACACAAACACTCTTCGAGATGAAGCCTGACTTTGATCTCCTCGGGTCTACTAAGTGGGCTTTGCAGCCTACACAACAAGGCTTGTTCTAATACCGTTATCTGACGAGGGCATGCAAATACGAACTTGTCGAGCTTTGCCTCTGGGTTGTGAAAACCACACGAATAGAAGGCGAACAGAGGGTCCATGTAACTAATTTATAGACTGAAAGGAAGAAGGTATTCGCGAGATATGTCCTGCAAAAGAACAACTATGTATGGAATGTTTTCCATGACCCAAATGGCGTATCGCATCACAAGCTTCAAACAACCCCCGACGAGGTAGGACTTCTAATCGCCAACCGAAAACGACGCAAGCAAATGGTTCATTGATTAATTGATTGATCGACAGGTTGGTCGCACGCAGCTACCTCCGTGAAGAGATTTCGAAATCAATTGGATGATAATGTCGTCGCGGAGGTAGTTGGAGGATACTATGCAATCAATCAACCAATCAATCAATCATTTAACTGATCAATCAACCAATCAATCGATCAAGAAGAGGGAGGACCGTCCGAGAGGGAGGGTAGTGGCAGAGGGGTGAGAAGCGGCAGACAAGGAAGAATGATTGATTCATTTATTGATAGTTTGGTTGATTGATTTGATAGTTTTGTCCAACTAGCTCTGGGACGAGATTCTGAAGCCAATTGGAGTCGAGAGAAGCGGTGGAGTTGAGACTCAGAGGAGCAGCTGAGTCAGGAGGAGCGGTGGCGAATGGGGGCGGAGTAACAAACGGGGGAGGAGCGGCGGAGTCGGGACGAGTAGCAAAGTCGGGAGGAGCGGTGGCGGATGGGGGAGGAGCGATGGCGTCGGGAGGAGCGGTGGAGTCAGGAGGAGCGGTGATGGACAGGGAAGCAGCAGCGAGGTCTGGAGGAGCAGCGGCGGATGGGGGAGGGGGGGGGGGACGGAGGAGCCACAGCAGAAGGGAAGGAGCGACGAAGTCGGGAGGAGCGGCGAAGTCAGGAGGAGCAGTGGCAGATAGGGGAGGAGCGATGGACGGGGGAGGGACAGAGGACAGGGGAGGAGAGGCGCACGAGGGAGGAGAGGCGGACAGGGGAGGAGAGGCGTACGGGGGAGGTGCGGCAGAAGGGGGAGGAGCGACAGATAGGGGAGATTATTTGATTGATTGACTGATTGGTTGATTGATTGATTGATGTTTGATCCACTCCTCTCCCCTTTGGCGCTCCCCTCATCCGATCCTCCTCCTGCCCCTGCCCTCATCTTTGATTGATGGATGGACAACTTGGTTGGTTGATGGGACAGTCCCGCTCAGGTGGCTCCAGGACGGGATTCCAAAATTCAATCAATTACGTAATCGATTGAATTTCGGAATCGCGTCCTGGAGCCACAGTCCCATCCAACTGGCTCAAGGATGCAATTCCGAAATTCAATCGATTACGTGATCAATTGAATTTCCGAATCACGTCCTGGAGCCACCTGGGCGGGACTGTCCCATCAACCAACCAATTTGTCCATCCATCAATCAAAGATGAGGGCAGGGGCAGGAGGAGGACCGGATGAGGGGAGCGCCACAGGGGGGAGGAGCGGATCAATCACTAATCAATCAATCAACCAATCTGGGGGGAGGGGCGTATCAATCCTCCCCCTCCCTCTGCCCTCATCCTTGAATGATGGATAGATTGCTAGGTTGATTGACAAGATTGTCCCTCCTTGTTGGTTTCGAGATGCGATTCTAAAATTCAATCGATTACGTAATCGGTTGAATTCCGGACTCGCGTCCCGGAACCAGCTGGGTGGGACTTTCCCATCAACCAACCAAGTTGTCTATCCATCAATCAAGGATGAGGCTCGGGGCAGGGGGAGGATTGAAGGAGGGGATCGCCAAAGAGTGGAGGAGCAGATCAATCATCAACCAATCAATCAATCAATCAATCAATCAATCAATCAATCAATCAATCAACCAATCATTCAATCAATCAAAGGGTTTCCCCTCTCCGCCGCTCCTCCCCCGTCTGTCGCTCCTCCCGTCTCCGTCCCTCCTCCTGCCACTCCTCCCCTGCTCCGCCGCTTTTTCCCCATTCGCCGTTGTTCCACTCTCCGTCGCTCCTCCCCCAACTTCGCCAGTGTTCCCCCTTCCACCGCTGCTCTTTCCAACTCCGCCGCTCCTCCCGACTCTGTTGCTCCTCCCCTCTCCTCTACTCTCCCTGACTCCACTACTCCTCCCAACTCCGCCACTGCTCCTGCCGACTCCGCCGCTCCTCCCGCTTCTCCCGACTTTGCCGCTTTGCCTAACTCCACCACTCCTCCCGACTCCTCTGCTCCTTCCGACTCCACCGCTCCTCCCTCGTCTGCCGCTCCTCCCCCATCCGCCATGCCTCCCCTTTCCACCGCTCCTCCCCCCTTTGTCGCTCCTTCCCTTCCACTTATTACATTTTTTATTAGTGCTCATTACCACCATACACTTAATTTTTATTTTTTTTTTGTAAATGCAATCTCGATTTATTACCGAAAAGTTATTTCATATGCGTAGTTGCAATTATTCTTTTAATTCGTTTTTATTTTGCTTCCATTTGTTTTTCCTTCGATAAGCATGTTGTTTAATTACCTCTCTTGCCACTAACTTGTGTATATGACTTGCAAAAAAATAGTTCTCCTTATGTAAAACAAACTCGCAATTTGGATTTATTGACAATAACATATTGTTTGCTTTTGTGCATTCCATCTGTCTTGTCCCTTGACTAATAAAATATTTGTGACAACGGCCAATGCATGTCCTGTGTGACAACCTTTAAACCCGTTAAAAAAAAAATCAACGTAAAGTTTTTGACTCGAGTCCAGTTTTCACGAAATGTTTATTTTTTACCAAGCGCATGTTCTTCTCTTGTTTATTCGATATTTGTTTTGTTTTTCTTTTCTTCTTAAATTTTGCAAAGACCCCTTCTTCTTTTTTCACACTTGCAATTTGCCCCTCAAATTGTTTGATTTCCTCCTTATTTCTCATTTTCACAAAGGCTCCTCAAACTGACACAGAGAATTCCAGTTTTGCCCCGGATACGAACTTTTCGCCCGAAATCCTTGGCCTCACCCCTACTCTGATCTTCGCAACCTGCAAGAATGCAGAGTGTCGTGCGTTGTGTGAGGTTGCCCATCACTGTGACATTGACTCTACTTCCAGGTAGGAGATCATTTGGAAAGGGTGAGAAATGTAGAGTTTAGTCAAGAAGAGAAAACTTCAAAAAAAGTTTAAAAGACTGCCACCACGGTACAGTGGACCATGAATGGTACTAGATATTGCGGGCGGTAATCCCCATGGTCCTTCATATGTAATTGATTTCCCACCTCACCTCCGGACCCAACTGGCTTGAAGTTTTTAATTCTTTATGTGTCAAAGTCGATCCCTTTTACGACTCATGATGGATGTTACCTCCCTCAACTGATGGATATGTCAGTGTTGACTTATTTGTCGAGCACCGATAAACGTCAGTACCCTTACCTAGAAGGGGAGGCCCAAGAGGGTACCTAGTGCGATTCAGAAGTCTCTTAGCCAACTGCAGTTTAGAGCTCAGTTCAGATGTCATATTGATTTGCATGGAGATCTGTGATTTACGAGGGTCCAAGGGAAAACTGATGCAGACAGCACCAGGGGTCGAGTCAAGTTATGAAAGGGGTCGGAAATGGAAACATCAAATGGAATAACGCAGTACACATTGTTGCTGCTGCTGCCGCTACATCATTAATAATGTCGTACTAGTCACTCTCTGGTATAAAGCCATCATATGGCTTATGAGTAAGGGCCGGGGGGGCTGAAGGCACTAAAGCGGCAACTGGCGACCTTCCTATAGAGAGAAGGTAGTGGCAATTCCCACACCATCAGTCGAGTAACATGGGAATCAACTATCCAACTCAAGGCTCAAAATTGTGGACCCCTCTACGCAGTTTCAGACCCTCAGTCTCCACTGGCTCCAACATCTCATTTTCGCACCCTCCTCCTTGATTCCCCTGGCTTCGGCGCAGATCGTGGCCCTAGCCCCGGAGGCTCCACCAGAGATTGATCCTCTGGTGTGGCTCGATGACATGTATTGGAGATTACCAAGGAAATACACGAACGGTGACTTGGCAGATGAACGTTGGTTACATCTCCTTCGCACATGGAAAAACTCCCAATCCCCCATCGTTCGGTACCGGAAAGGTGGGAGGAAGTATTTAGGCAACCCCTGTTTGGTAATAAGCTAATCACGGACTCCCTCGACCATATGAGATATAGCTCAGACCCCCCATGGAGGGGTTGGGTAAAGCACGGGGTCCGGAGGGTGGGGGACCTCTGGGATGCGGCAGCCGGGGAATGTAAAAATGCAGATAGAATGCGAAGATGCTTGAGGTATTGTCACCTAACAGAGTCAGCAATGGAATAACTTATTAAAAGCTTCCCCCTTCAGTGGTACACTATACTTAGGAAGGGCCCTAACTTAGAAGAAGGGGATGGGTAGGACTACCTGATGGAACACAAGTAGACCGGGTGCACATGGTAGACCAAGCGCAAGAGTTGATTGAGTGTTTTGCCGCCACATGCCGACAACCTTTTATCTGGAAAGAGAAAAGGGAGGTCTATTGCATTAGAGTGATAGAAGAGGAGAGGGGTTGGAGGGCGTACCGGCCAATGATCCCGATTGAGGACCTACCTTTCAATCCCGATGAATAGAGATGGTCGTGGAAAGGTCGGGAAACGTGAAAAAGGAGGGGGAAGGCGAAACCGGTAGCACTCGTTACCCTGAAAACTAAGACAATATATCAAATGCTCAGACGCAAGCTAAGAGATGTGGTAGAGGACAGATGACAACGACATCTCAACATAGACAGAGGCCTGCTCAAACCCATTCAGTGGTTTAGAGAGTATCGAAAGAGGCTTGCAAAGATCTCCGCCCTGCAATGGCAAATTGCCCAGTGGTGCCTGTCGACCAACGACTGACTGATTGACCACGCGCAACTAGCACAACAGGGAAGGGTGCTTCCCTGGTGCCGAAGATACCTCTAGAATTTTCCAGGCAAAAAGCGCTCCGACACAGTGGAGCACATCTTCTTGCAGTGTTCCATAATCGTATTACTGTGGCGATGGTGGGACATGATTTGGCGACATATTGTACCGGGCTCATCCTAGCCATGAGACTGGAGGGCTATATTATTGGGCCACTGCCCCCAGTTTTGAGGAAACACTTTTCAAGAGAACATGTAGTCCCTGGGTAGGCGTAATATGGTGGAGAAGATGCATTATGGAATTGGAGGGGGCCAGGGTGGAAGAGGGGAAAGCCACGGAGCAATTACGGCTACTAGTACATCATGAGATCACGACACTATTGCAGACTGTCAAGGAAAAACTGAAGCAGGCACACACTAGGGTGGACATCGACAAAATTATTTTCCGCTTCTGTGAGGAATGGCTGGGGGGGGAAAGAGAGGGTTGGATGGCAAACGTGAGCTGGACAGGCGACAAGCTGGATCAACGCCAGACTAGGCAGCATGAACATCAACTGAAGCATCATAGGGAAGTGGGGAGATGCCACAAGAGGGGCAAAGGGTAGAGTTGGAAAGGGATTATTCGCTGCATTTCCATGAATGGACAAGGGTGGACCCCAGGAAATCTCTACGACCTGCTCAAGAATTCGTTGATCCCTTCCCCCCCCATCCGCTGGTCTTGGAGGAATGTGTAGGGGGCGGTGTCTGATCATCTATACTCATCTATACTCATCTATATTCTACCGTTTCACTTACTCAGCTGCCCCTGAGTATTCTCCTGGCATAGACCTTACAACTACAGTCAATTTTTGATTGACCGGAGGTGGGGAGACAGCCATGAGTCCCTGTGCCCCACGGGTCTAAGATGGCAGTTTGTTCTTTCTTCCCAGGCTACCGATGGCAGAGCCTCTCGTAAAGGCATACACCCTGTACAGTAAATCCCATGGGAAATCAATGCGGACAGGTCCCTAGTGTTCCAAAATGTTGTTATACAAGTTTTTTGATGTATTCAAGGGACGCTGGACCTAGTTTCCAGCAGGTGATGCTCCCCACCAATGAATGGAGCGGACCACCAGGCAAAACCTCAATCCCGGTGGTTCTCTTACCACCACTAGGATAGAGGTCTTGGACAAGGGCCTTAAAAAAAAGTACACATTGCTGCAAGAGGCAGCGGATGGCCGCAGGGAGAAGATGATTGCGGAGGGTCAGACCTGATGGTCACCAGGAAGAGCTTCAGCTTGGTATCACCAGGGCGTCGCGGTAGTTCTACCAGCACGTCCCGATGGTACCATGATGTATTCCTACCGCTGGGAGCAGCGATGTGCATGCAACTTGAATGGGTGAGTACGCTATGCTCCGATAATAGATTGACTCTGATAGAGTAGAAGATTACGCAGGCTGGTAGTCCGGGGCCCCCGAGATTGATTTCTTGGAGGCTAGAAGAGGGCTTTTCATCACAAACAGACCACAAGATTGTAAAGTCTTGTGTTAATGTGCTTATTGCTTTGTCCTTTCTCCTCATTGCCTTGTCCGCATATGTACTATCTCAGTGGCGAGAGCAGAGTGTGCTTGTAAATTGAGTTTCTCTTTTTTTTTTTTGAGGTAAGGGCAAAAGAAACATGCATCGGCAAATAAAACCACACCGAGTTCGAAAAGGCAGTGGAAGTGTTGACGGCCGTGGTGTCAGACCAAGTGTCGTATTCACAGGGGTCGGTCGCGGTGTCAGACCAGGTGTCATATTCACTGGGGTCAGCCGTAGTGTTAGAGGGGAAAAAAAAAAAAAAAAACGAAAATGCCCAACGGATACTTTTGGACCGAAATTGCTCATTTCAAGTTGGCGCGTGTTTTTTTTGCCGGCGCGTGTTTTTCTTGCCTTTAGGGTTTCAAAACATGCCCAATGCCTTGCGGCTCCCCATTATATCAGTTTGCGGTTTTTAGTTCCCCCGCCACCTAGTATGTCTATGGTTGTTTTGCAACGCTTAGTAACCCCCCAGTAGTAGGAGACAAAACCACCCCTTTTGCGACTTATCCCTGCATGTTCCTGCATACATCTCTCACTCCCATAGTAAGGTAACAATTAGTCTACTCGGAGACCATGCTGGCAGGTCCCTCCTCTAAACTGGACTCCTTCCCAGTTGACCTGGCTGACTGGCTTGCTAGGATGGGGGGAGGAAGCTCTGTGTAGAGGACTGGGAGAGGCCCGAGGGACAAGGAGGGATGCAGGGTGGGCGGACGAGGGCTTGCAGGAGGGGGGGCCACAAACGTTTTTGGGAGGGGTTTTGTGGTTGTCAGTTTTCGGCATAGGGCCTCACCGCAGCAATGTCGGAACATGAGTTTTCACCATTTTTTTTTCTTCTTCCCCACACCGACTGCCGAAGAAAAAATGTCGAAACCAATTCGACAATTGTCAGAAAAATGGTTTCGACATTGGTGTGAAAAGGTCTGCCTGAAGCGGGCTGAAAGTTGACATCTCGT